TTCGCAGGCTAGTAGAATACAGCGGCATAGTTTTTCAAGGCTCCTTACAAGGCAGGCTAGAATGCAGCGGCGTGGTTATTCGAGGCTCCCTACGAGGCAGGCTGGAATGCGGCGCTGTAGTTGTTCGAGGTTTTCTACAAGGCAGGCTAGAATGCGGCGCTGTAGTCGTTCAAGGCTTTCTACAAGGCAGGCTAGGAGAATACAGCGGCGTAGCTGTTCAAGGCTTTCTACAAGGCAGGCTGGATGCAGCGGCGTGGTTGTTCGTAGCAAGGGGCGCCCATGTACCCTTCAAACCCAAGACGACTTTTCGGGATTGGCAAGGGCGAGTACATGGTTCGTCAACCGAAAGTACCTTTACCTCCCATATCCTTCACCGATCTCAGGTCGTGCGCAACGCCGTAGTCGTGCCGCTTCACCTCTACATACGCCACCATCGAGTTAGGCCTCTCGCTTACCACACTCTTCTAATCAGATCACAATTACAGTCACCGATGAGGTCTTTTCCGCTGAGGCGGCACAACGCCACAATGTTGCTTTGCCGCTTAGCCCCGACGTCGCTGTCAGCCTGTTCTACCTCCCCACAGCGCTCTGTTACCACGCTGATGTGGATGTACAAATCAGCAAGTCGGGTTCCTCGCCGCAGAAATGCATGACCATCATATTGCAGCCGCTGCTCATTTCCATCGTCTGATATGCTGCAAAGTGCTTCTTACCGCCGCCCTTGTGACAGCCCGCTTCACCGTGGTAATCAGACAACCCCCTGCATATGACCCTATATTGAAGACTGCCATTGGAATCACCCGCTTGTTCAAGCTAGGCTTCTGTATTATCGTAGAAGCTCAACGCGGCACGGAACAGCCCACGGCTCAAATGGACAACGCAGTCATCTTTCCGCCCAAGTCATTCGAGAGTGCCTCGTATATGCTGCCCTGTATCTCGCCGCATCTCAGAGCGATCATGTGGCAGTACAAATGCGATATCAGCCCTTGCATAGGACGATTTGGTGAATAGTGTACGCGTACTCGTCTTGTTAATAGGTGACTTGTGAACGTGGCTGCATAAACGTTCACAAAGGGAAACAGTGCCTCCTCGAAATATATCACTTTTCGGCAATTGCGCATGGTTCATATGCAGTCAAAGTTCAGCCAAGGATATTAGATACAGATTGTCTCGGGCTTGGACATTCCAAGATTTGCAGCACTCTTGATTTGGAAGTAGTATACAAGCCTTCGGTGCTCAATGAGTGGTAAAGTCTCCATGAATCACTCAGCGGGTCGTGCAGCGCGGCATTGGGGAATCTCCAAATGACTGGACGCCCAGACGACTGCCCCTGTGGGGGTAGGTTCTGCGATACCACATGAGGTCTTGGCAATGCACAACGCCTACGTCGAGTACATCTTCGGTAGTACTAATAGCGATAGTATCTATGAAAGCCTTACCAGAATGCATCTTCATCACCCATGAGGCGCTAAGAATGCATGAAGGTATATGGCGTATGGCCTGTTAGCCATACCCTGCGCAATACCAGAATTTTAGGAGGTGTTTACTGTGCCACTGGTGCTGAGCCAGAAGCAACCGAGAAGCCCACCATCGGGTTCCGAGCTGACGCCAAATCTGCCTCGCTCGGCGCTTCAAAGTTGGTTGTGATTGGAGATTTAGCCTGCATACGAGCGGCGTATTTCTTCTTACAGCCGAGCGGAATGTGGGCATGTCAATAGTGTGTCATGGATATCGCCCATTTGTAAGTTATCGCAGCATGTTTGTGATTTGCCAAGAAAGCAGATGATGAGTTACGACAAGGTTGAATGCTGGATTGAGTGCGGCACATACGTCCAAGGAGACGATGAATGTCACCGCTGTACGAAGTACGCAGTACGCCGCACGGGTGCATGCTTGGTGTGGGATTTATGTGGCGTGGATTGGAGGTACGCCTTGCATGAAAGTGCGACCAGTCATCCCCAGGACGCCTTGCGCAGCTGTGCCGCACGGTATGTTGTATCGTGAAGAGGCACAGTCTGCATTGACTGTGCGATTGGCTTGCAGAGACCCCTTCGGGCGCAGACCCGAAGACTGGAGGCACATATGACCGCAGCGCTTACTTGTGGGCTATTAGATTGTAGAGTTTAGCGCTCGTTAAAGAATGACTGAAGGACACAAAGAACAATAAAATAAGATTCGAGGCGCAACATCACATAAGAGGGTGACTATCGCGACGAAGGTGGCTGAGGCGGTAAGGGTGAATGTGGCTGAGCACGTGCATGTCCTGACAGAAGCCGGAGATTAGCCTGGCAATGCTGACTCGGCACGCTGACGCTGCCACCACTGCCCCTCGCCAACACGGCGCCCGCCACCGAGAGGCAGATTCTTGGTCCTGCTCAGGGCGATCGCGATTCAACGACTCCACCATTGATGTCACGCCCAGAATGCGCACGCTTGCGTCGCCGAGAATAGACGATGCTCGCCTGATCCATGTCTGATGCGTAAAGCAGATTGAAGCCTCTGCCGGGAGCCCCGAAACAAAAGTCTCCACCGGGAGCCGCGCGACGAGCCTCGCGATGAGCCTTGCGAGGAGCCTCCCGGGCAATATATAAGGACGGAAAAGTGGACCTGCGTGGCTTTCGCGAAGCAGTCAGAAATGCGCCAACGACGATAGAAGATCGTCTCTCCCAGCCTCATGCTCCTCATGCAGCAGTACCCGTCTTCGGAGAGGTACACCAACTTGGCCTTGTTGGCGCTGAGGCAGACGAAGCCGGGGACGGTGCTCTTGCTCGTCACCATCTTCTACGACATGAACCCCTCCTTCACGAGACTGCGCCCAAAGCCAGTTGTCGAGACGGAGGCGAGGACGAACAAGGAGATGTCGAAGGCCGCGTGGCAGAGTATGTCGAAGTCGTCGTACTTCCCGGAGTACAAGAAGACACAGTTCAACGAGGTCTTATGCAAGATTTAGTGGGGCGAGCCCTTCAACTGCATCGTGAGGGCGAACATGAGGGACAATAACGAGAACACAGTGAAGGTCCCCGTCCACGTGCTGGAGTTTATGCCCAGCCTCACGTTTGCTCGACAGCAAGGTTAACAAGGCGCAGAAAATGTCGCACACTACCCAGACCTTGGCGTCGCTCGTGATCGGGTCCTGCGAAGGAGTACGCGTGCGAAGGCAGGGTCTCGTGCACCTGCGAGGTGGAGTTCAGCAGCGAATACACCCTCTCGCAGGTCAGAAGGTTCATGTGCTACCTCACGAGCGTGATCAGCACCTCGTTCTCGATAAAGCAGTACGTCGAACCGTTATACATATCCGAGGTCCGTTGCACGGACACAACGCGGTCGACGTCTTTTACATCGACAGCGGTCATGGCCCGGAAGACGACCTACAACGAGTCCACGATCTTGTACGATATCACGTCCATGTCTGTGCAGATGAGGAAGATGGTCTACAACTGCGCGACGACACAGGCGAGCTCGGGCAGGAAGGTCATCGCGTCCGCAGGCGTGGACAGGGTGCAGGAGGCGTTCGCGTTGGAGGCCGACAGGTTCGCGGACATCTTCGTGAACCCCAACGTCGACCTGGCCAAGGGGACCTACACCAACCAGACGAAGATGATTGTCAAGTACGACACTGAAAAGCCCATGAAGGCGCGGTTGAGGCGATGAGCTCCAAGCCCGGCAATATCCTCGTGTTCCAGGGGACGATCAAGAGCTTGATGGAGGCCGACGGCGTGTTGGACTGCTTGAGCGCGTCCCCGATCACATTCGTCTTCTCGTTCAGCATGTCGTTCTGCATCGAGGCCATCAAGACCCCTCAGTCGCTGGACGTGCCGGTGTACGGGTGCGGCTTAACGCACGACAGGATCTACCCGCGTCACGTCGCTGATGGTGTTGAGTGAGCACGAGCCGCGCGTTCAGGCAGTTTTCGGCAAGTACGTACTTGGAGCCGATCATGTACTCGGACAGCATCACTGGCATGAAGATGGCTATGGGCGTGATGCTGTGGTTGAACTGGGAATCAGACGCAGACTCGAGGGACATCATGAAGGGCCGTGCTATTGACTTAGAGGACGTCTCGAATAAAACCTTCGAGGTCATGGGGGACGGCTTCCCGTCGTTGAGCATCGCCGTCGTCGCCATCACGGCCACTTTCACAGCCGGGTACCTGACCATGACCTTGGTGGAGGACGGCTTGGGGTTCGGGCAGTCGCAGTAGACCGAGAGCGCTCTGCAGACCGGGCAGATGGTGACGTGCGAGAGGTCGGAGCTCCACAAGCACTCCTTCGCACACGTGCCAAGGCCCTACATCATCTGCCCAACACGCCGATTACGCTCCACTACCATCGTCTAACCGACTCGATTTACAGTTCCTGCTATCTGCACTGCTCTTCATAGCCCACGGCAACCAAATACCGCTGAATTCGTCCTGCATGCCGACTGCGCTTGCTCAGCTCAGCTCCGCCCCGCTGGTCCGATCCAGTCCATTTCCACTTCACGCTAACGACGACCAAGACCGCATCTCATGCGCGGAAGGGCGAGACGAGCCACCTCAATATCTGCGCGGGTCTCGGATTTGACCGCACAGCAAAGCGCAAAGGAGATGGGACGTGTGGCTAGACGGGTCGTGGACAAATGGGACGAGTGCACGCATGTGACGATTGCACACATGAGGTGATTGCACATATGAGACAAATGGGTAATAGAATTGTACAAAATCTCAAGCCTTATCCATGAGAACTTTTGTAAACTCCCGTGGATGCAGCGGCATCGCCTGGATCTCTTGACTACACGATTAAGGCGACTCGCGGCTCGCTAATACGGATGCATCTGTGACGGCAAGCATCCAAAGTTAGCGAGCCGCGGTCTTGACGGTGCTAATGCGAGTGACCATGGTTCTCTTTCAAGGCATTCGCCCGCCTGGGACGCTGACCCACTCCGCCAATGATCAGATGTGCCTCCAAGGTTCGCGGCGAGGCGTCCGACGATGCTACCAGGTATCGGTGCCACGGCTCCGCCATCTTCACGAGTCTAGTTGCCAGGGACAATCAGCGGCGGTCCAAACATGCTGATTTTGACAGTCTTCCGCGAGTCGTACCCACACGCGACAGAGTATTGCGATGCGACGGCAGAGCTCGCATGGCATATCCGATGTTCGAAGTCATCAGCAGAATACGGAACGTGAGCAGGACAATCCCAGCAGCACAATTGAAGCACACGACCGAAAGCCCCAGACGTGAAGCTTCACAACGCCCCCAGCAAATGACGCGACGTCACAACGAGATATTCATGCCATCTTCCGAAGCCACCAAGACGCTTGAAGAGCAGGAGCGTATACTTTGGGCTGATTGCGGGGAACAAGGACCAATTGGCGTTGCTTTGGCCACAGAACTGGAAGAGTTGGAGCGTATACCATGGAGTGCTTCCACGTCTATCCCCACCTCCGATCTCGTGCACGGACACATCGCTGTAGTCGGGCTTGACGAGAGTTTTAGGAATTGAGGCACCATCTCCACACCACACGAGCGCATGGCATCGTAAAACGCAACTGGCAGCTACCGAGCAGCGGCGCGATCTTGCAGCAGCTGTCCGACACACCTTAGCTGTCAATATCTAGGGCCGGGCGCAATACTGCGCGGGATTGTCACCAAGCCTGATTGGCATAAAGAGTGCATCGGTCAAGCAGTCATCAGCCTCGCGCATGTAGCATTACGCCGGCACAAGACGTGGCGACGTGTTGGCGTCGACCTCGAGAAGACGAGCAAGCGAGCATCAGACAGCCAGGCCGGTCCTAAGCTTAAACACCCCGCCAAGAAGATCAAGGAGGTGCGGCGAATAGTAGACGAGGCACAGAAACTCGAAAATAGCTCATCGTCAGACGTCATGAAATTATTGAAGCGCAAGGTCAACGAGCTTGTCGATAGAAAAGAGACGAAGCGTACAGGCAGCGCGGATCAGTCATAGCGATTCCTGCTCCACGGGTTACGAGCCCGGCCCGACCCCAAATAAGAAGTTGCTAATAAGCCTGAAGTTGATGGCCTAAGGAAGTGCTTACTAGAATCTAGGTTCTTCAAGCCATCCCCAAGTCTGATATACCCCCGACGGTTAAGGACTGGGAGGCAGGAAGACGAAGAGAGCAAGGAGCTCGACGATATTCCACGAGGCATGAGCCGTCACCGCAAGTACAGCAAAAAGCAAGAGTCTACGAGCATGACAATGCAGTACATAGCACAAAAACCGCAGGAATATGAGGACCTGTACCGAGGTTGGATCTGGCGAGATCCTTAACGAAATGCCATGGTTAGAGGCGCTACACGAGTTCTAGGCGATGGAGGAACCGCAGTGTATCATCCACATAGTATAGTCGTTGGGTGGAGGGACGAGTGTGAAAACTACTTACGAGAAGCCCTTCTCGTCAGACCTGTCAATAATCGAGCCAATCAAGCCTCCACGCTTGATTGGCTTGGACATCTGGCCTAACGAAGCTTGATCGAATTAGCTTGATGCTTGAATTCCTTCGCTTAATTGCAAGCGCTTGATGAAATGAGATATAGGGCAAAAAGGGGAAAGACCGTCCCTATCGATAAGCGTTTCACGTGATTTATCACGTGACTGACACCCTTCACACAGAAGACGCCAAAGTAGCTTGAAGCAGATCTCAGTTATGGCCATGTTACATCTAGCTGTCGCTGAGGATTTTCTGCTCAATGCGCCGTGGTACTCCAGGCCAGCCTGGGCAAAAGCAACTATCGCGTATGTACAACGAAGGGAGGCTAGAATAGCATGATGTATCCTTCCTCTGGTCTGCGGCCTAGAAAAGGTCGATGGGATGCGAATTGCATAGAGCATACACCGATTTGTCGGCGATAGATGGGCACCTGACCTTGTATTCAGCAGGAAACGCGTCGCTTTGCAAGAGCAAGCAGATCGCGTCTAACATGATCGGGCCGGAAGTCGTAGACGCACGTTGCGCCCTGACATGTCCATGCTTGCTCCAGGTGACGAAGGCTGCGATACTGTGCCCTGTATTCGCGCAGTATGGGGAGAGATGGGGTGTGTGGTGGAGAGTGATTTTGGTAGCAAAAGGTGGCATGGGACCGGGGAATGCACGCCTTGGAGTAGCCGCACCGAATAAAGCCAAGTTCTCGTCATCATGTATCCTAAGTCATGTCGATAAAGGAACAGCCACACACGTCGTGAGTGCGAGAGGCATCTCGCCCTTGATATGACACTGCGGCGCGCACCTGAAGCTCTTGAAGTACAATTGAAGCAACTTGCGTACAGCGGCACCACTTCCGGTACATGGCTTCGTCGGGGGAAATAACTGGAGAGCAATGCAGCAGGGTTATAAGCTTACTTTAAGCAGGCGTTGGAAATGTGCCTGAAACAAACCAGCAGCACGCGCCGGCTACGTTCAGAATCTTCGGTCTGCGGGAATCTTGAAAGAGCTTACTCGGTGGCATGCACCGCTTGCAGCTTCACTCCAATCTATTTCTTGCTTGCTTTCTAATTATCGGATAAGTAATGTGTATGTAGTTGAGCGCAATGCGTTATATAACGACAGTGAAGAGAATGCAGAGACTGACGAGGAAAAGAAATTACTGAGTTACTGCACATTATTCCATTAGGGTGTTACCTGCATAGGCTAGGAGATAGGTGAATGAGATGCGTCGGAGGAAATGGGAGATATCGTAGTGAGGTTAAGAGAAATTGGTCAAAGTAATCACAGTTCGTGGCGCTTCGTAAATATCTTCACACCCACTTACTGGAGCACCCTTGCAAGACTGCGCAGCCACGCCCATGTCGAGAAACAAGCGGGATTCAAAGCGACGTGCAGCATGTATGTAGGACAACATCATTTTCACAGTGCAGAAGATGAGCAGAAACGTAGCTGGGAATGAAGACATCTTTTCATTACTAACTCCTATCAACATAAACAGAAATCGTTACATCGAAGACTTTCCTCCTTCTGTCCTCGCTCTCCAGGCATGTAGCACAATTGTGCGAAGAGTCAGACCGCCTACAAGAGCGCAGAGTTTGATCCTTGCGTTCCTTGCGACTCTTAACTTTGGCTTCATCGGTCTGGTTGCCTATCGCTTGCGTTTCAAGTTCGGTTTGGCTTCGGCCAGGTCGGCATCGTTTCCGGATGCAGTGGGCTGGGCTTCAGCTAAGGCGAGCCGGGCGTTGGTTGCTTCGATATGCGCAAGACGTGCCGCATTCTCAGGCACCGTGAGATGGGCATGGACGCCCATTCGAAAGGTGGGGCCAAGGTCAACGGTTTGACATCCGGTAGCAGTCTCGCCCGTATGGTAATCCCTTATATGAAGTGCAAGCTCGTGTAACGTGGCAGGTACCACCTTGCGCTCGTCTCTGCTGAAGTACGCGTTAACGTTGCAATACGCAGAGGTCGGCATGTATTGGGCGTTGTAAGTGACGTAGTACAGGACTTTGAAAGTATCGGCAGCAGCTACCTCGGTAGGCGCGACGGTTAGATCGGATGTCGGAAGGGAGGGCGATTCGGCTTTCACTGGGGTGGACGATTCGACTTTTACCGGAGTGGACGACGGTCCAGATTCCGTTGAAGCCTAGAAAGGTTGTGAGCATATGCTAGACATATTGGGCGATGTTGAGGACATACCGTGATGCCGGCTTCAGACTGGAGAAGGCGAGCATTCAGAGTGACAAGTGTTTTCTCATAGTTGGCAAGGTTCCGCTGTCGTTTCGCGATTTCTCTCTCATCGGATGTTACCAGGCGCTTCGAAGATTCAATCTCCGACATCAGACCTGCCTTCTGTTCTGATTCGGGATCGCCGTCCATCTCTTTGAGCATGGCAAGCATTCCCTCGTTGTGTGCGATTTGTTGCTTCCTTTGCGTGACATCTTCCTCCCAGCAAGCGATGGTTTCCTTTGCTTGCTGAATAGTCGCCTCCTGTTTCTGGCGCGCGTCTTGCATCCACGCAGCTGAATCCATTGTGGTAATGCTCGAAAGACTGAAGAAAGGAGAGTTGGTGTAAGTTTTCCTGAGACTCCTGTCGGCGGGCATTATTAATAACCCGGGACAGCTGATTCTACTGCCATCGTCATCGTAGCAAACCGCGACCGTGGCTCTATTGCAGAATGGATACCTGCCGGCAGCCAGCCGAGCTGCAAGGATGCGGACGGAACACGACTACGAGCCGTAACACGCTTGCCTAACGTAACACCAAGCCGGATTTTCGCCTTGCCGATCTCCGGTATCTCAGTCAAACTACACCCTGACGAGCTCTGGCTCCCAATCGCCAAACGCGACGTTGGGAGAAGCACAGGATCGCTGTTGAAAGAGCATAATACCAGAGTTGCAACCTGAGACAATTAACGGGGTGCTTACCACAGGTTCTCAGAAGGCCGGGAACGGAGATATTTGGAAGAGTGAGGGGGACTCATGCGTTGCGAGGACAACACTATTGCAGCCTTGCCACCAGGATGACACCGAGTGTCGGGAGAGCTACTGTCGATGCATCCAGCCACAACGGCACGACTACGCCGGCGTGACTGCGAGAGAGGAGGGACAAACTTGCCGGCAAAGACCTAACGCGTGCTGGCGGCGGACTGGGCGAAGCGAGACTGTCGTTACACCGTTACACCGTTACACACGCCAAGCCTGGAAACCTTTCAGGAAAAGCCGCGACAAGTCGTCGATCTGCACTCACCCGGAATTGCGCAGAGGAAGGCGGTATAGACGTGGCCAACTGGCGCCAAAGACCGAGCGCAGATCGACATATGTGCACGAATCGAGCTACTAAGATGCTGGATGGAACGTGCTTGTTAACAGGTGCTATGACTTTGTGATCAAAGCTTTGAATCGCGTTTAGCTACATCGTTTCTGTATGTGGTGTTTAGCTCTGCGCGTAGTTACTTGTTTGCTACCGGCTTTTGCCGTTGTCAAGGGTAGGCGCTGCAAACCCGGTCGTCCTGTTGCCGGAGTGCCTGCCAGTTGCCAGAAGGCCCACCCGTGGCTGGGATGTGTCTTTTCTGCTATTTGAATCTTGCCGGTATGGCGCGGTGCTCTCTTCAACGGTTTCGGGAGCATCTCCCCGTTAGTGTGTGTGACTGTAAGACAGAGAGACGCGTAAATGGCGAAAGCAGGGGTGCATTCAAGCAGCCACAGCAAAGCTGTGCTGCATCGCGTGACATCTTTGTCGTTCTATGGACAGTGCCAGCGTCGTATGCAGTTCCTAGGGTCAAAGCAGTAGAGAACGCACTAGCCGTGAATGAAAGTGCGAAAGTACAAGCGCCGGTACCACAGCAGCTTTCAAGGTGTCTTGGACCTCATTCAGCTGCTTAATAATTAGACTCTAGCATGTCGACCCTTTTTGGATATAATCTCTTTGGGATTGCTGTGGTGTAGTAGCTGGGCACGTGACGTAGGCTGAAGTGATTGGGGCTCATGTACTAGACAACGGCCTACAAGAAGTTATGGTTCTCACCAATTTCCTATCGCGAGCAATACAATCCATTGATGTCCTTTTCCTTCACCTGTCAGTCGAAGAGTTCTTTCGCCAGCCTAACGTCGACTTGATGGCAGGTGAAGGCATGATGCAAGCTAGGATTCAGGCACTGCTGTCTGCTGGCAGTCTCGTGTGGCTACACTTTTGTACACCTGGATCTCTTCCAACTTTCCATATGTCTCAACCACCCGACTCTACCGAGCATAACTGGTATTATGCAGGCACTGGCTAGTTCCTTCTGTGAATCGACATTACCTAAATGCTGACCGAGTCCTCGTATGAATTGACGTTTCTTGCCTTTGCTAAGCAGCTGGGTATATAACCGAGTTATTTAAGTTATGGCGTTCGTCTTTCATCGTTCGGGAACTAGTACGTGTTTGGACGTGGTCTTGTAGTTATGGACAGAGTCGCTTGAGACGTAGGCCTTGATTGGTTTGATAGAGTTACTATCATTAGTTAGCAGGCGACAGTAAGACTCTTACCAGAAATCTTATACCTTCAGGTGGAGGTTTGGCTCGTATTTTGACGGTCCCACTTTCGACTCAGTAGGAGCCTCGTCAGGACCGCCGTTGATTGTTATGGATGTGCGTAGATTTCAGGCGAATAATACGATTCCTGGACATGCAAAGACTTCCGTGACACATGATCTCGAACAGTACGTGACGCCTGGTGGAAAAGAGATGCGACAGCCTAGGGGGCGTGATTGTCCTTCTTGAATCCGATTCCATAATGCTAACACCTGAGGAACGAAGAATGCGTTTTGACAAATAAGCGCATTGCTAGACTCAGAAAGACTGTGGTAACTCTTAGTAAGAAAGAGATGCGACATAATCAACCGGAGTGCGGATAAGGTTTGATGCTATAATAGCCTCGAGTAACGAGTAACGGACGCTAAGGTCCAGCCTGGCCCACTACTCTATCCCCAAGATCCAACTGTCGCCTTAATTTTGAAGTTCACGCGTCTCTATACCGCGATCGAGCGATGAACGTTGTGCAGCCGTTGCCGAGAACTTGGACACAACGGCGGACTTCGAACGTGGTGTAATGGACGACTCTCGATGCTCCCTGTCACATACGCTGACTGATCCTATTTGGCTCTTAGGACGGGTGCGCGCTGTCTGTATTCGAATGCAGAAGCGGTCCTTCCCACAGTGAGTCGTCGCGATGGCTGATATTCTCACTTCTTCAAGCCTGGTGGACGTGGTAGCGGTGTGTGTATGCATAGTGACCTGAAATTAGTGCTTCATGTCATCAACTGCGGTGCGATATAGTAAGAAAGCAGAATGTGACATACACAATGCTTTTCAGTATTGCACTTCGTCTTCGTGGGCGGTCAGGGAACAGTTCCATTGACGCACGGAAACAAAACAAGCGAACAACAGTAGCTAGTAGCAAGGGTCGCCTTGTACGCTTTGAACAGCCGACTCAGCCAGCGATGCCCATCGACAGTAACGCGTGGATTCTTCGCAATGGTGTTCGCGTATAGCAACTTCCTCCAAAGCCAGCCATGTCCAGCAACATTATTACCCCCATTGCAAGTGCAATGATTCACGATGGGAAAGAACAGTATAATCAGTCAGCAAGAATGCATTAAGCTGTCGCAGATTTTGACTGAAAGTATGAAGGCGCACACAGTAACTGTAAAGAGATAATAACTACGACAGCATTAGCATGTTGCGAGCATGCTTGAAATGCCATATACGCACGTACAAGGAATCAGGCCATCGTAGGGCAATACCACCTTCTAGCAAAACTATCTTCTGCCAGCAGGGCGTCTTCCAGAAAGGCCGTCTTGGCTCTTTTGCCCTCTGAATCTGACATTGCGTCCTGTCGAGCTTCGGCGGTAATTAGGGAAGGTTTTGGTCACCCGCAAGTGAAAAGGGGAGCATGTAATGGATTGGAAACGCTTCTCCTAGGAAGTAAATATCAAGAGTACAGGACGTCTTGTTAAACTCTAGTTCACCTGCTGCTACATATCACCAAGTTTCATGCTGTCGAAGAATTACAGTCGAGCTTGTTCTTGTCCGGCGAGGAAACCATGAACCCTCTGCCCAGCTCCGGCCTTGCATCACTCTGTAATCCCAGATGGCCTCAAACTCTCTGGTTCACCCAGCGTGAGCCTCGTGTTGCCACACCTTGAGTCCCCCATGGTCCCCTTTCGTAAGCCCTGCTATCGGCAGTTGAGGTGCGTCAGCTCAGGGATTGTAGCCTTCTTCGCTTTCGCCTTCCCGGACGGCAGTCTCTTCATCGCTCGCAATCTGTCCTGGCACTCTCCTCGTCACCTGCAATCTGTTTGGCGATGCTCTCTTCAATAACACACGATCGGTTAGGCGAGACCTCTTTATCATGCATGCTCTACTCTGTGATGTCTTTGTTGACAACGCTGCGCGAGGTGCGACGAAACTTTCGGCGGGTCTCCACAAAGGGGGCTCAGATGGCGGAGGTGATGTTGCGGTCCCAAATCAGCGACGGTATCGACGGGGAACGCTGTAGCACGAAGCCAAGGTTAGCAGACAAATTCCATATATTCTCACGCCAGGTCTCGGTGCCATCTGCCACGAAACACGCACATTACCCATTCTTATATCACGCCTTGAGATTCATTCTGCGACGAGTTCGATCCAAAAACTCATGCAGACCCATTGGCAATATCGTCCGGTACTTGCATTGGAGTAATCGAAGACGAATTGTGTGGTCTAGATAGAAAAGCAAACAGTCGGCAGTGTGCTGCAGGCGTTTGATGGAGAGTGGATGTCGAATTATATACCCCAGTATACCCTCCTCGTGCTGATTGGATAAGTGGTGTTGGTGAAAGTCTCGAGGTCGCAGGCCGATTGCAATAATGTGACGTCATCAACGACACCTGCTACGACCTATGGAGGGAGAAATTGATAACATTGTGAAAGGCTACCCTTGTACAAGCCTTTCAGTCCTAGTGCCTGCCTCTCTTTTTGCCGCTCGAGTGGTCAATCTTATCTTAGCCTGCTTCGCTGCGCGCTATAGTATAGCCCACCTGGCATAGAAATCGTTACCACCCAACTTTGAAAGTGCATCTCAGCTAATGCCCAGCAGAAACCACGTCCACCGGCGTCGTATCCACCTCGCCAAAGGAGTCTCAGCATGAGAGAGATGGGCAAGAAGAAGGAGCATAACTGCCAACGAGAGATGGCCTTTCTCGCGCCCTGCCATCTCGACGATCCACTCCGCTTCCAAACACAAGGATTCTCGCCCTAACTGCGCCATCATGACTACTTGAGCTTGAAGCCAATACATCCTCGCAAAGCAACCGCATCTCGCACGTCCAAATCCTCTTCCACCTTCATGTGCCTCACAAGGCTATCCGACAAGGAGACGATCGCCACCCGCCCGATCGCGAGAGCGCGTCCACCTGACTATTACTAGTCTTGGACAATTGCGATACGAGCTTGGAATCTCTATCGAAGAGGACACGCTTGAGCGCCCCCGTCACAGCTGCCCAAGTGGCTGCGAATTTCCCCTTACCGACTCCGCATCTCTCACAGGGCCCAAGATCGTTGACAAAATTATCGACTCCATCGCAATCAACCTCTACGGATATGCAGACATCCAGGCGGCTGTGGCTCTCTCTCTTCGGCGCTGTTAGCAAGGTGGTCTCCGATCGCCGCTCAAACTGTAGCGACGTCAACGTCCTGCCCCTCGCTCGCAAGTAGCTATCCACTCGACAGTGAAGGGTAATATGATGTCTCAAGAAGCGATGCTTTGCATTGACAACTGTCAAGGTTTGCACGCTATTTTCACGCCTGGCGGACGTACAGGTAAAATTCTGCACGTTGACGCCGATCATTTGACCACAGTCATACTTCCTTTCCTGCGTAACTGCTATTGCCTAGCATTACACTCGAAACGCGGATATGCACGGTACATGCGCCACCCGATTAAGATGGCCTTGCGCACTGTAATCCATGGCTTGTCGGCGAACAGAAAGCAGAGTCGTCGTGAAGGAGCAGGATTACAAGGAAAAGGACTATCCCACCCTGGGGCGATCCCCGTGGTAGCAGTGAGCAGCAGCAGTCAAGATAATCGCAAGTGGTGAGACGTATAGAGACAGGGCCGGGCGACCTTCTCTACTGTATGGGCAACAGCCCCGAGCGTCTTGGTAAGCTCTCCGCCGTCTGGGCGATGGCCTTGAGCGTCTTAGTGGGGTTTAGGTCGCTCTGGCGCTGTCCTTCCTCCTTGTGCCGCTTCACACCGAGGAAGGTCTTTTTGCTGTTCGTCAACCCCTAGACCCAGCAAGACATCGGAAAAGCAGCGATCAAGAGAACTAAAGGAAAGGAAGTTGCAGCGCCTAAGAAGATCAGGATAAAGTACCCCTAGCCCAACGACGAGGTTACTGCGCCACCTGAAGAGAACGGGGAGCAGGACGTTGCAGCGCCTGTGTGTGGCTGTAACCGATCAGCTGTGTCGCCAGCACGGCGCCAACTTGCTTGCGGGCGGCTCTCTCCTTTTCCGTCTCTTCGCGCTCCTTCCTAGCGACTTTGCGGTTCTTTCGGTATTGCTCATGGCAACGTGGCTGCGTTTGAGCTGCTCCGTCTGTCGTTTGTGCGATTCGAAGCGGGGTTGGCGGTTTGTCACACAGAAAACGCAAACGTCACGGTCTGGATGATGAGCAATAAAGCGAGACACAAGCAACTCCCGTGATGTTGCGATCCAGGACCGAGCACTGCGTGCCTTTGGCATCAGCCCCGTACATAAAGAGCAGCGCTGCTACGGTCGAGGCGGCTGCAGTTTGATCTGCGGCTGGTGGGCGGCGGTGGCCGGAGACGCCATCCCGGGGAGACCCACGCGCAGAATTTCGGATTGCTCCGAGTAAGTGTTGTAATCTTTGGCAACGAGCACGACTCAAGACAATCTGAGCCAGCCAACGCGTGGTTATTGCCACTTCTCCGCCTCTTCGAGATACCGTGAAAGCTACTCTCCAAGTCGACATCTCCAGGGACAGGACAGGATGATCGAAGAAACCCCTTGCGCGAGCAGATGAGGGCGAGAGTCGGCTGAACGACACGAGTTTCGAGCATAGACGCATGCATGCATGACGGTAGACGACCTGGAGTCCTTTTCGCCGAGCAAACTTGCGGGTGTCGTCGACACGGCTATAACCCGGTGCGGCTGAAAGTCACAGACGTCGTCCGCAGGTTGACTTGTTGACACGACCGACTGGATACAAACGCATGCTAGCACATCTGTCGGCGATCGGTGGTTTTGATACAGCTGCCGAATCGCTGTCAACGCTCCTTGAAGAAGCTCAAGCAGCCTTGCCACGATGACGAAGACGCCGATAGCCTGACGATTGGCTCGCCTGCGACAATATGTCATCCGAGACTCCACGGAGCACGGTCGAGAGATCACACAGTGAAGACTCGCTCGGAAATTCGAGGGTTTTGTGCATATTGGCGAATCCGGGGCCGAAGGGCAGTCGAAGCTCCTCTCTTCATCGCGATTGCGTCTGCTTTAGCCGTAGGCAAGAAGCTGGAGGAGATCCAAGGCGAGGGCGAGGCGATGGCCTCATATGGACGCTCGTGCAATGTAAGTGTCCATGGCAATCACTGCGGACCTCAATATGGGCCAACAGGTCGACTGGCCGCAACGATCGGATCACGCAACTGGATGTGAAGCACGACTGATCATGAAACGAGCATTTCCAGTCACTTCAATCACGGAGAAGACAGAGTGGCAATTCAAAGGGTATATTGTTACGTTAAGCTAGAGTATCGGAGAACCAAGGCAAGTTGCTCGACCATTTGCATGGCGATGACAACACCCATCCCCGGTCGATGAAAGAAAATAAGCTGGAGTAACAGAGTACCAGGGCAAGTCGCTTGCTCATTTGCATGGCAATGACAACCCCCAACCTCAACCCCGACGGAAGAACAAGCGGCAGTGATCAGTCACAATGTCCACAGTACAAGACAGTTCAATGCGATGACCACTCCCACCTGGAAACACCCCAGACTAGCCTGCCATGCCATCTACAGAGCAACGGCCTCCAACCATAGTCCTTCAACTGCTCCTTGTCTGACGCTTCGTCGTCGCCGGTGTCGAAGCAATCGCTCACCATCCGGCATCGTGTGCCCTCTGCATGACAACGTCGTCCAGGAATGGCTGAGTGCCACGACCCAAGAGGGCGTCAGCAATGTTTGCCATGTGATCCTCGTGGCGGGGTAGCTCCGTGTCGCTGGGCCCGGCGTTGGCGTTCTCCCGTCCAGCCCTAGTGCCGGCACCTTGGCAGAACAGAATGAAGATGGGGATGTACCTGAATCCAGAACGTTGCAGGGTGTGGATATGATCGACGTCCGTGGGTGAGACGTATGCGTTTTGAAGCCTGAAGTTGATTTGCTGGATCTCAATCGCGGTGTGCGGGTTAATGTAGTTCTCCAGCTCCAGAATGTGGACGGCGAGGCGTTCGAACAGCTGAACAAAGGCATACCAAGGCTTCCATTCATCGTTGCCACGGTTTTCCCAATCGGCAAAGTCACCGAACATGGAGAATCCTGCCGCATTGTTGCGGAGGCATTCAACCGCGCTATTAGTATCCGTAGCAAAGCCCGCTTCAATAGCCCAGCTAGTCACCCTCTCCATGTGAAGATTGAGTTGATCGAGTTTGGTGTTGTCGCCTAGGAGGAACCTCAAGTCTGCAATGCGGTCTGAAATGCTGGCGTTGGCAGCTGTGCTAGTGCCAGTGTTGATGTGGGGGTTCACGCGTCCAACCCTAGTGCTAGAACCCTGGTAGGCCATGACAAGCAGGGGGAGGAAGAGGAATCCGGCGTCTCGTAGAAGTTGGAGTCTAGCGTCGTCGGGGCGCGAGAAGAGCAACATTCCCAGTGGGTCCTTGTGCCCAGCGCTGATGTGTCGCTGGATCCAACTCTCCAATTCCAGGATGCGCAAAGCGATGCGTTCAAACATCGTTACTTTGGCTTGCAAAGATCGGCATGCAACGTTGTAGAAGCCTTTCCAGGTGAGAATGTCGCCAAAGAGAGGAAGACCTGGCACCCGGGTGCGGAGGACTTCAGCCTCATGGCTGGTGTCCCTAGCCAGGCCCTCTTCCATCGCGAAATCGCTCAGCTCATTCAGGTGAAGATGGAGTTGATGGAAATCGTCATCACTGTTGAAGACGTGGGTCGTCACTTGACGGCGTTCGAAAATGCTGCCGTCGTAAGGAAATTCAGTGTTGGCAGCAGTGCTAGTATGGTCGGCAATGCCAATGGAGCCATCGTCCTTGGGAGGGCTGGCGTCGGCAGCGGCGGTAGTGTCGGCTCCAGCTGTACCTTCGATCAAGTGGATCTTCTCGAGGCGCAAACTGACTTCGCGTAGCAAACATGCGACGGGATCATGTTTGTCATTGACAAGAAGGCGTTTGGTGGTTTCTTCACGACCCACACTGCCTGTGAAGCCAGCGCCGCTGCCGTCATCGTCTGAGGAGTCATCCTCTGAGGAGTCGTCATCTGAGGAGTCGTCATCTGAGGAGTCAGGGCTTAACCCGTCTTGGCTGGCATCGCCGGTCGTGGGGAGTTGCTCCACTAGCCAATTCCAGGCGGCCTGGAGGCAGAACTCAGGATGCTGGGGGTCGGCCCAGAGTGGAGGGTTGGTGAACCAAGCCATCGAGGACCGTAGGATGTCTTCACGATCCTCGCGGGGAAGGCCCGTGGCAAAGACACGGTTTCCAAGCATTTTCAGTATGACGGGGTGTACGATCTCGCCCTGGACCGGCATGGTTGTGTCTTGGTCAAGGTCGGTGTGAAGTGAGTGATGAATGAAGAAAGCAGTCGATTGACAAAAGAGGTGAAGAGGGATGGAGCAAAATAGGATAGTCCAAGCCTTTTACCTGACAGCAATACCAAGGGCCCAGCGAAAGAAGCTGAATTGGCATGACATGGTATTATGGCGGAAATTAGCGTGGCGTGGAAGTATGGCGTGGTGCGTGTTGACTTCTGCATCACCCCGTCTGCGGATCGGGAACATGCATAGCTCCGTTCAGGCAGCAATATTGTAACACAAACTTGCGACAGATTCATATATATTACAAAGCTAATTCAGTGTGGAGCCGTTTGGAGGATCTGCAAGGTGAATTAAGCAAATATCGTACACGGCCTAGCATTGATCATGTACCGTTGGTGCTCATGTGACTGCAAAAGCTTCGAGCTATGCTTACACACTCGTCATTCTACGGATCCTGGAACATGGACCGAGAACGCGCAGCAGTATGATCGCGATCGCGATCATGCCTGGGCGGCGTACGAGCCGCCAAACTAACATTCTATCCATTATTCACCGGAGGTATAATGCGTGCCAGACGCATGCAGCCATGAAGCATCATCATAGATGTATTGGAGCGGTGTGTAAGCCGCCCACCTAATGTATTTATCCATCATTCGCCGGATGTACAACGCGTACCCGCGTGCAGCTACAAAGCAACATCGCAGCTATGCTGGAGCAGCAGGAAGAGGCGTCCAACCAACGTTCTACATCTATTGTTCACTGTTTTTGCACTGCACACCGGACACGTACAGCGGAAGAGAAGCCACGGGAACTTTGGCGTTTAAGGTCTCGCTACTATCCTTCCGTAGCACATGCGCCGCTAGCGAACTGGATTGGGAGGAGTAGCGCCGTGAGACCTGAGATCCATCACTGTCATCTCGACAGTAAAACAAGCCGTGATAGGTCGTTGAGATGAATGAGAGCGGACCCGAAAGCCTAGTACGCTCCAAGATGATGGCATTCTAGTGGCACTTAACGTTGCTGGGGCTCTTTCACTCAACGGAGGTATTGACGGACTGAGAATGTCCCGCTCCGGCTGGCGACAAGCGCTGGTAGCAGCTACTCTCAGGCTTCCTCTTGGTTCGTTGTCCCTTTGTTTTCAAAATGGCCCGCTGTCCACAATTTTTCGGCAGGAAGAGAACAGTCGCTATGCCCAACGGGCGAATTCTAGAGGCGAAGCAAGCCTCGAGCCGACTCCTAATGGAGTCTCATGGCCTGAATTTGGTTGGCAGGCATTGTATCGATACTCGCGCTGTCGTGGGCGCGAAGCACTGTACAGACCCGGGGAGTGCAAGCAACTGGATGAAGACACGTGCGAGAATCGAGGCTCAAGAGAGGGCCAAAGACGGAGTGTAAAGATTTGACAGATGCAGGTCATACGAATTAGGTGAGCCTCTGTAGGGAAGCAGAGGGGATTTGAACGACTGTCGTCCCGATCTTAAAGTTTGTCGATCGCCTCGGAAGCCGGATGAAACTAGAAGGCACCTGGGAGAAGAGGACAACGGTATGATATAAGACGACACGCCAGAAACCTTCGACAATGATAACCTGCACATGAGCTAAGCGCCAGTTGCACTAGCTGGCAGGTCGCGCAGAAGAAGACGTCAAGGAACATGCAAGCAATGGCCCCGAGAACATGTTCAACACACAGAGCCCTTGAATCCACCTTGATTTTCTCAACCATGCATTTGGCTTTTGTCACGGTCCAATTCGACGACAACGGCGTGAGATAGTAACCTGCCTCAAATAGAACGTCTGCCTCTTGTGGTGGATCTGCTTCTGCGTGACTGGGATCGGATTGGCGACTATTGGGATCAATTGCTTTCAAGCACGAGGACGACTACATAATTGCATCGCGGGTATTCTTCCCAACCTAACGACTTGCTTATCCTTTTGAGGTGTGATGGTCGGACGAGGGTTGGGAGAGCTGATGTTGGTGCTAGCAGGCGTCGACTAGAGTGTCACAGCGGCAGGATTGCAGAGGGCTCGTGGCAGGAATACTATTGCTGTCGAATAACCCTGCTGCTGCGCTTTCTTCAGACAGGACTAAGATGGTGGTTTGTCTCAGCGACATGGAATCGCAATCCCCATCTCGTTGCATCTATTCGCAGAACAACGAGAATGGTTTATTACTACAAATAATTATGTAGTACTGCATATGATTATGTTCACACTCGATGAATGGTCATGCACATGGTGTTGCGCAAATCGCGACGGCTTGAGGCACTGGTGGAGCGGAGCTTTGAGGTCGCCGATTGGGCAGCACCGCTTGCCAACTCCCTACAGCTTCCTTCTCAATAATAGTCCTTCCAGGCAGTTCATTCTTGGTGCAGTCATGTCGGTATGACTGAGCAAGGTAGCCGACTTGGCTGGGGTTGCGCATGTCACGCGGCGAGTGTCCATTGTAGCGTATTGCAATACTGCTCGTGATGCACGAGGCACTACATCATACAGGAAAGGCTCAGCGGTGGCACAAAGAAGGGAAGATATCTATGAAAGACGGGTAAATGCCGGAACCAGAACGAAGCGAAGCGCTGTCGCGCGGTCGTGTGGTCGCGCGGTCGTCGTGGTAAACAGAGAGCCAGTGTCAGCAGGGGTCGGCCAACACCGGCGTGTCATTTCGAACACCTAAGCGTGAACGCGCAAGGCAAATGGGCAGATCTATGACGAAACGAGAAGCATTTAACTGGCATATGCCGTCGGTTTTCCGTTGTGGCGCGCTGCTCTCAAGAGCGCGATGTGCAATACCAGAGATTGAAGATACACATCATCCTCAATTTCAGCCGCGCCCCTACTCGCACGAGATGCAAGAAGACACTCCAGCTTGACAAGCTGGTACGAAGAGATGGGCTCTGCCCTCTTTCGAATTATTGTACGTCAGTAGACCCGGTATTGACCAAGCGGTAGGGAGAGCCCATGCACTTCAATTCACGCAGTCCAAAACACCTGATCCTTGTTCATGATGCCATAGTGCAGATGTGGTACCCGTGCCGGGGTGTGCGCAAGAGTTCCTGCCGGAGGTCGGTCAGAAAGTACCTAGGTTGCTCATCTAGAACTTGGTCGATCTAGTCGATATCGTATACTCGTATCTTTACAGAAGCAACAGTGCGCCTCTGGCAGATGATGTTTCGGTCTGTCTATGAGTCCATGAAGTCCTGTCGCTGCATATTTGCCCCTGCAAACTTATTGGCAAAGACCATAGGACCTTGGTCCAAGGTCGAGTACTGGAGATCTTCCAATCCAAGCGGCCCATGTGCGACAAACTGCCTCCTGTACAGAACTTCATCATTGCGGGGAAAGCTAAAGCAAGGTGCACGAACAGACTCAAGTATCTATTTTGGTACTCTTCAAGGAAGGTTACACGCTGCTCTTGTGTTCTGATCCCGAAGTCACCAGACGAAAAGTGATCCAAATTAAGGCGTGTGATGGTACACGTACCCGCTGTATTGTCGTTCTTTCCCGCTCATAAGAAGGTCGCTGTTCGCGCACCATCTTCAACAGATCACACCGCTCCAAGCCCTACTCTCTTGGGATTCTTTCTAGTACTGTATTTCAGTCATTTGCCTGCGATACTCCTCAAGACTATTCTCCTTGCCAACAAAAATTACTTGCTCCTTCACGATGCCATATCCATATCCAACTCTCACTGAGGATGTCCCAGAAGGACGTGGCAACTGGGTCGGTACCAGGAAGTACAACGAGTGGATGCAAGAGGAGTTGCAGCTGATTTGGTTGCTGGGATACACGCATCCAGAGTTGTTGGCGGATGTGTTGGACGTACGTCTTGCCCTTGGAGATCACGTTTACCTGCGAAACCTTGCTAACACTGCATGCGACTGTCAGAAGAAGAACATCATGTATGTGGAGTGTAATCAGAGCGACCAGATCCTGTACAAGCCATTCGATCCCCTGTTTCAGCTGAAGGAGCCTCGACGCTATGCCCTTTACATCTGGTCCATCGGAATACCGGTGTACGACCCCAACGTGGTGCCTCTTACCAATATCACCATCATCTGGCACCCCGACAGACCTGCACCTCGAGACATCGCTGTCTTCTCGTTAGGCGATGCCGATCCGATATACTTCCCCAACCGTTTGCCTCGCGACCACCTCAGTGAGGTGTATCGGATCTTCTCCGAACACGCCCGAAACAAATGGATGCCAGCCTGGATCAACGGAACTTTGATCATATCTGAGATGGTTGCAGTCCTTACAGACCTTCAATACTCAGTCGAAGTCGTAACGCAGCAGCTTATAGCTGTGATACTTGCCTGGAGAAACGAACCAGGTTGGGGGGTCCAAAATCTCGTTCCAGTTGACCTTAATGGTCGCGATTCCGGGTTTCACGGTCAGGGACGTCCAGTCTGGATGCCGAACTACGGGTACCTATCGTATGCGAATCTCTCGATGCAATCAATGAGAGCCATCTCAGAAAGATCACGTAGATAGAAAATATATGTATGATACTTCTTACAGCTCAAAACCCTTCCTCTGCATCTCGTGCACTCTGCAGACAATCCTTTGCCCGATGCGATGCGCTCTTTGCTATACTTGACGACTCTACTCAACTTCCATGATTTCGCACGGGTTTGTACCCCGCTTCATGGCCAAGTAAAGCTGCGCAAGGTACCAGAAGTAGGGGGTTCCAGCGAACAGTGTGCAGGGGCGCTTGAGTGTATTGTAATGGGAAGTTCAAAGATGCTAGACTATAAAGAATTTCGGGCAGCCCGAAATACACAAACCTTCCTATCTAGAATGAATATCAACATCTACGTCGTGCGATCTTTGACCGGAAAGCGATTCGCTACAACAGCTAGAGGACGGGAGTGCAGCCAGTTCCCAGCTTCTGAAGTCTTCATGCTCGCGTCAATATGTCACAGGACCGTGGTATGCTTGCGTCGTTGATACAACCCATTAAGAACAGCGGATTAGTATTGAGCAAGCTCGGGCGCAAGAGAAGTTCCAACAGGTGGAAGATGAAAGATGGAAGATGCAGCAAAGGACACAATCGCACAATAGATTCAAAGCATTGCACATCATCACATTGCGCATAAAAGACGGAAATTGGTGAGATGACTCGTGTTTTTAGCTAAGAAAACCACACTCAAGTAACGTCTTCCTCCTGCAAGACCTGTTCGTCTCCATCAACAGACCCATACCAGTCATGGTCCAGAGGTCAAGAGCCGATCGCGTCGACATGAAATGTTTAAGCTTTTTCGTCGTCGTTGCCAGCAGCCTGGGTGTTCGCGCTAGCAGCCTGAGTGCCGGTGCCGACTAGCGCCATGTTGCGACTAATCAGATCGTGCAATTTCACAATCGCCCACCAAGGGCTAGTGCCGTCAGGCCGAGTATCGGCGTCGTCAAGCTGAGTCTTGGTATCGTCATATTCCTTTTTTATGCCATGGGGCAGAGCGTACAAATCCGAAATCGCGTCACGGAGCGATTGCAGCTGCACGTGCATTTGCGACGCCATTGATTCAAATGTTTGCATGAATTCGTCCTTGGGAGGAAGGATATCGATGTTGTCGTTGACGAAGCGGAAGTGGTTGTCCATGATCCTGACACCTTCACAGACCATGAAGAGGTTTTGATCATGAAGGATCTTGAGTTTCAGGCTCTTCTCTTTTGCAATGCAAAGCTTCCTAACCTCTGCCATCTCGGAAGCGAATTCGTAGTGACCCTTTTCCAGCTGGGAAACCCGATCCTGTATTTCCCAATACTTGATCTTGTAGACTAAACAGTCCCTTTCTGGGGTGCCCATCTCCATGCCCATCACGGACCTTTCCGCCTCCGTTCGTGCTAGCTTCAGGCTCTTGAGTTCCTCTGCCCAATGTCCCATAATTATTGCCCACTGTTTCTTCACCATCTCATCCTGCTCGGCCCAGATCTTTCGTGTCTCCTCCCCAAGTGCCACCTTGTCCTGTTCTATCTCTTGCTTCACATCTATGATCTGCTTCGCTTTGTTGGTCTCGAGTTCTTGCATCTGAATGATATGCTTCGCGTGGATCTCCGCAATCTCCTTGGGCGTGTGCTGCCTGCAACGCATTGATTCGCGCATCCTTCCCTAATCGCGGTCGAGTTAGCCCGAATGTTGTTCAATCAAAAAAAAGTCGTTGACTGCGGCCATGTGATGCAATGGGCAGCCGGCTCCTTGGATTCCATGGAGGTGGTCTGATGTCTGCTTACCAGGATGAGCTGTCTCCCCGACGGATGTAGACATGGTTGAGGTCTGTGTTTGATGCTTGATGCTGTCGTTCCAAAGGGTGTTTGGATGGGGTGGTTCAGAGGGAGAGGAACGTAAAGGCAGTGTGTAGTGTTACCCTATCAGTGTTTATGATGACGGCTAAAGCAGACCATGTATGCTCGCGACTTTGAACATTAGAAATCAAGGAAGCAGAACTCACGCACACTGAAATTACACAGAAAGTAGGATGACATTGTCTATGCTGTGAATTCACCGAGCTAAAGCAGTATACTGTCTTGGAAATACCTAGTGCAACGGATGTCCGGAGAGAAGCGACGGTTGTGCGACGAGCCCAACCCACACACTCACATCACCGTTGAAATAAGTTATGAATGCGGCATGGACACGGCCGTAATCCTGTTGTGGCGTAGTTTTACAGTACCACGAGCATTTCACATGATGAGAAGCTTCATGCATCTCAGACGTTGTGGCCGACCGTTCTCGCGCAGCATCAGGCGTGTCGCACTTAGGTCGTCGGCTTGTTGTCCACCTTCCCCGTCAACGGCGAGGTGGCGACGAGGGACATATTCAGAATCTCAAAGGGTTGCACATCCCGAGTCATGACGCTTCTCGACCGATCACCGACTTGGTGATCTACGAATCGAACCCATACGCATCGTCTTGAAAGACCATCGATTTTCCTCCACATGCCTGTGATTGCGGCGGGCGTGCAATCCGGGCGGCGTCTCATGATCACGGTCGCCGCGGCAGCGCGCCTGAAGGGTAACATCACTTGCATCCTTGAGCATGTTTGTGGCCACCTCCTACCAGCGGAGGTTCCGATGAAAAGACGTCGGCCCGGGTGCCCGCGCCCCACCAACAAAAAGCCTGGAAACGGAAGCCTGAGCGTGCAGACATCGCCCAGGGGCGCAGATGCAACACAAGGGCCGACTTGGTCACACAATCTCAAGACTCAGACTTTAACCTGAGATGTGCCATCTGTAGCACGACATCTTTCTGCCCTACAGAATCATGTCCATGACGACGAATGTGGTCAAGTGTCCGGACCCGCTCGTAGATCATCTCGAGGCGGTCGATGCGAATAGGGTGCGAGATGCCAGGTTCTTCCCAGGTGTCCGTCGGGGATCCACTCCTCGTGCATCTCACACCCGAAAACACAACGCCACCGAATACTCGCAATCATCGATGGTCAAGATGGGCGCTCCGCCGCTCCGGGTACCAGAACCGGCTGCATCATGAGTCATTTCGCATCCAGGTTATGCCAGACTGCATGGTATGAAAATTTGCGTGTCGTGTAACAAAGCCGCAATGGTGTGCCACTATCCATGCTGCATGACTTCTTATGTTGTCCTAGCCTACTCGCCGACAAGCACTTACCCTGGGGCCACATCGTTTTGTTTGCTCCCAGATAGTGGGGCAAGCGGGGGATGCTTCGTAGGGGTCGATCGATCTCATGCTTTTGCATCAGCGTGTGCGACGCCCAGAAATGTCTCCAACGGCGTTGTTTAGGTCATCTTCCCGGGATTGTGCAAGGAACCTGGCGGCGGTTGAGACGATCAGCCACCCGAAAATGCAACATTCAGAACCTCGCACAATCACTTGCTTCCCGTGTGTTTGCTTTTTGGGCGCTTCTCGGCCCTTGTGTTCAGTTTCTGGTGCGGCTTGTCCAAGAGTTCAATGTTGGGGTGCAGTCAGTGGACACCACCAATACAGCAGTACCTGCCTTAGGTGGGCAAGCCAATATCACATCCAGTTCGCGACCCACCACACCCTTGAACTAGTCTTGCATGCCTTAAATACGCTTGCACGACACATGTAGTCTAGTTGTGTCGCCACTTGATATGAGGTATCGTACGGTGAACCGTGCTGTTGCAATACTGACCTGACTTCACTGCTATGTTACATCTATGTATGCCAATTTTGGTGGAGCACCTTTGCATTGTATCTTCGAGCAGGGGGAAATTGACGTTGGAAGTGGGTCTCTCGTAGTACGGCATGTGCCTTGACGTGCTGATGGAGAACAACGGTCTGCACTGCGACGTGGGACAATACTCTGGCCTTGTGCAGATGTAGGTGGGGTTGAGTGCAACAAACCTTGGAGATCAGCCGATAATCTAGCCGACGGTGTTCTGATGGACATGGAGCGGAGAGGAAAACTCGAGTGAAGACGTTCATATAGTGTTTGGCATATTTGTGGAGCGCTTTACGGTCATTGGCGGACGTCAGTAGCATGCTCGTTAGGTAGGTATGGTCGGCTTTTATGTAGAAGGTGACGATCAGAGGCAGTGGGCTTCTGTATCTGTTGAGTGCTTGGGATCAATCACGTTCCAGAGAGAGGGTTGCAGCAATGACACTAGTATTTGGGGTTCTTGTAGACGTTCCATTGAGGGGATGCAATCCAGCCGGCGTTGCTGGTCAAGTCAACACTATCGGTACATTTAGATTTGGGAAAAAGATGATAAGAGACTGTGTTGGTAGTATAACAATTGATAGTAATCGGAGCTGTGCTCTTCTTCATATTGTACGTGTCCATCAGACAGAAGATCTTCTTGTCTTGAAGAACCTCCTAGAGCATCCTTCGAATGGCGAATGAGCAGGAGCATTTTCTAGAGCTACATGTGCGGCTGCTTTTTTCTATTCCCGTTTCATTGTAGCGAAACGCCTAAGCACTTGAGCCTAGGGAGAGGGGCGAGCTTCATTGCTCTTCGATACCATCGTTGGAGAAAACGGCCTCCAAGACTCATTCGCTATGGGCTTCCGTAGACCTTCTCATCAGCGGGGTTCTTGGGCGGAACATGCACAGCAGAGAAACCAGCATGCGATGCATCAAGGACCTACTCCTTGAGCAACTGATGGGCGCTGAGCGCTCCGTACTAGCGCTGGATGCGAGATCCGCGCCCGTCTCTATCATACGGACAGCTCTAAAGCAGTCGCGCATGCTGACCACAATTTTGGATCTACGGCGTGTCCTTGCTTCCAGCAGGGTCGCAGTGACAGTCTGTGGGGTCTATAGGTTCCAGGTCGATGTAGCTGTGTCAACATCGGTGCAGGCCCGCCCAGGGCGACTGTTCCCCCTCTGGCTTGTGGGAGGTGCGGTGAGAGCGAATTCAGAGCCAGCTTGTAATCCATGGATGCCAATATGAATGTTGTTTCGGTTCGGGCCACGCGCAAAGTCCGCCGTCCTGATCAAACATGAATATATACAGCGATACAGACTATAGAATAGAACTAAAACAATTTAAAGCCCCAGAAACATTCTTTCCATCCATATGAAACTGAAGTGCAGTGTTAGGTGACGAGAAGAAAGACCACGATTCGTAGTTCCCTGGGAACGAACAGGTTCAAGCTGCAATCAAACTCTTTTTGCCCATTGCTTACAAACTCAACTGACACAATGTATCTCCCAAACGTGGACGCAATCGTCAGCAACTTTGCAGTCTGGTTGAGGTCACAACGCTGATCTTGAGAGATCAGTTGAGAAGAAGCTGGGGTACTCTTGCTTCCTGCCGGCAAAATCAGAAGCTCGAACAATTTAGGCATCCCGATAGGTATGCGGCGGCTTGGACGGGCCAGACTGTTCGAGACTTCGGGGCGTTCGAAAGAGATACTTCCGCTCTACGGGCGTATATGCTGTGAGGGAGACATGTTCCTCCTCGTTCATGACGTTTCAATGACGTGCTAGTCTAGTTTCTTGCATCTATGCGCAGATTCATGCTGAAGACATTGAGGTGTCCGCCGGAGTTTAGGTCGCGAGCTATGATACATGGTCGTTGTGTGAGGAGTTAATGAGATTGACGATCGTGGGTGTTGGTGGATGTCGTTAGATTACATCATTCTGATTGACTAGGAAGAGGTGACAAAAGCTACTGCGTGTATTGATGACTGCATGTGCTTATGATGATCCCGCCGGATTGAGGGCATTGGCTTTCCGAGTGTCTTATGGAACTGCGTCTGAGCATCTGAAAATGGTATGCCACGATCGAAGGTGATGCTGCTGCCCATCAGCTGCTTTATTACCACTTTCGCGTTGGCGGCGCATCAAGGAGCCCAAACATCGCGCTGCCCTAGTTTGCAAGGCACATAATGGATCAAGTTCGTCGGTCAAACTGCCTCTTGCAATGCGTCCACCTTTACCATTTACCTTCGCTTCCTGAAGTTATGGCTGATACCACCAAGGGACCGGTCGCTGAAGGGTGATCGTTGCGGCAGGGTTAATAGGCCGTGGTAAAGGCGACGTGCGACGGTGAAGCTTAAAGGGAAACAATGCGCGGTTTCGTCGTGCACGAAGCCAGCAGTCCGGAAGGGCGTAAATACCAACCCGAACATCTCCAAGGGAGGGAAAAGGTCATCACGGGCAGTATCGTTCGAGATCATATATAAACTGTTGATGTTCTTTTTGTAAGCGTGTGCAATTGGAATACTCGGTTCTTGGCATGTTTAAGCTGTACCGGATGTGGCGTCGCAGTGAAGTCGAGATAGGAGATTTCTTATCGAAGGCGCACAGTTCTATACGAATCGTTTGACCGCGGTGCATTGGCCAAGCCGCAACGTACAATTTGCTCAGAATATACTCTGCTGGGTGCTTCAATACGATCCGTGCTATCACGCAACATTCATCCATCGCGAGAGACGGGGTGGTGAAGAATTCATTGGACAATTTTGTCCGTGTTGGCTGTGCGCGCTGGGCGTAGAAGAGAACCTCAACCGTCTTGTTCTTTGTTTCGTCCGCTCTCCACGACACATCCAAGATGATCATTTCGCCAGGCGAAGTTTGCTGTCGTGGTAATATGCCATGCTGTAGCTGATTACCCTCTTGACTCAGGATCAAGAAGGTACAATCTTCAGTCTCCGACTCTCTGTGATCCCGGTCCGTTTCATGTGTATTGACACCGGTGACCTTCTATTTCGATAGTTTATGCTTTCCGCATAAACCTTAGGGCCATCAAGAACCGAACTTCTCCTTGAAACGGTTAGGTGAATCAAGATCGCGCCCTTAGAATTCACTTACCCTCGATTTGCGTATGAGTTTGTGAGGCCTTTGAAGTTTGTTAGGATCTTCTTGATCTTTTTCTCCACTTCCTTGCAGTTTTATCGTACACAGACCCGCCGCTGGCCAACACCACGTAGCTGCATGCAGCGCGCATGAAAGAGGGTCCAAAATAACCGCACATTATGCCCACAGCGTTTGGTTTCTGCATTTTGAGGATTCTCGGTCGCCTCAAAAACCAAGTCATTAAGAGGCACCCATTGTTCTGAACTGATTCCGAGGTGATTCTCGACAAGTGAGTCAGCTTCGAGTGTTGAGCCGACAGGTCACAAATCTGAGGCGAGGTATTCGAACCCAACGCCAGGCGCGTCCGGGCGCGACTTCTGCAGTGTGAAGTCCTACCTTCGCATTAGCTCCATCATAGAGGACGAGACCGGCCATCCCGACGGAAGAGCTAGGATGGCCTTGGCGAGATGAAGGGAGGAAGTCTTGCTGGCGGGCCCGACCCACATACTCAGACTATGCTTGTGTGCCTTCTCCAGGGTCCTCATAATTGCACAAAAGAACTCTAAGAAAATACGCTCGCAGGTCACGCCAGCCTGCTCAATGGCTTTGATGCAATTCTTGTCATATAGTGCCATTTCAAGTGGCGTGATATCGATCTTTTTGGTCGCTCCTGTGTGGCGATCCCAGTGGGTATGGGGTCCGCCGTCGCTGATCCAAACGGCTCTCACAGGCATTCCAGAGTCCATAATCTACTCAGGAGGAGGCTGTGCGCGGCCGTAATGGGTCTCACGCAGTGAGGGCATCGTGCATCCTGGTCGGATTTGTCGATTAATGCGCCATGTTGGATGCGGAACTGGCCAAGGACGGCCATGTCACCTTCCAAACAATCATTATCGGATGTTCCCTCAAATAGTGGGAGTAGACGAAGCCATCTGCTAAGAGAGCTATGCGACACATGTAGCAAATTTAATCGCTTTCGAATTCGCTGCGTCGAGTGATCCAGGTCCTTGTCAAACGAGTCTTCTGTCCCAAAGGTGTCTTCTTGACAAGCGCTGCACCGCTTTCGGCTGAGGCCGGGGGCTGGTTGGGGCAATCGCCAGTTCTTGGACAGTCAGGGAACGGGTTTCGGAATTGCCCAAAAATGCGCTGGTCCAGCGACAAATGTACCGCTCATCCCGTGTGTACTCGCCCAGCGTGATCCAGCTTGGATTTCCCTCACGCCCCATGTCGCTAGGCGGGTTGGTGTCGTTGGCCTCATCCAACCTGCCAGATCGCCTTCTAACAGCCGAACAATGCCCCATCCTGGTTCTGGTCAGTCTTTGTCCGCTTAGGCTTCACCAGATTCCCTATCATTATCTGGCGGCGAGAGGCCCTGCAACTCTACCTGGTAGTACTGGGAAGGTTCCAGCGGGACGATTAATGGGAGCTGTGCGAGAACTCGACCAGAAAGGAAGCATAGTCCCGTTTGGTTGCTGTTATAGGGCTGTGATCGCTTGCTCTGATAAGCTTGCACTGGCCTGTGTGATGCCTTTCGCTTGGATTCCGCCATGACCGTGGGAGTGCCGGTTGGAGCGGATGGCCGGTGCAAGAAAAGGATAAAGACAGGTCGGAGGCTTCGAGAGTTACTGTGGAAAGCGAGGAAGAGATACAACGGTCAATTGCAAAAGGACAAGGTCTGTTCGGAAGCTTCAAAGGCAACCCTGGATATCGAGGAAGAGGTGCAATGGCGGATTGCAAAAGGTTTTGAGCAAAACTCAAACTTGAAGCTCGTCAGCATATGATCCAGGAGACAATAGGATGATGAAGTATAGTATCTGGGACCAGTGGCACGGAGGAATTGAGCACTGGAAACAAGAGATTAAGGTGATTGTAGGAAAGAGCGAGCCTAACGTCTTTTGACCATCTACTTGCTGGCGCGAGCAGCAAAATCATCCCTCGCTACCACAGTGTGACCACATCTCTAACTGTCGCGGGACGTTCGAGCAGCGTTTTCGCTGATTATCAAAATATGTGCGCATTTCGATTGCCTTGATTCTGACATTGAACACAATCGATGAGCGCTCTTGTGCGCGTCTCATTTCTGTGCCGGGACTGCACGCTTCCTGTTGGCACTCCGTCGTTTCCGGAAAGCAAGCCCACTTGCAGGCAAAGTGTAGGATCCAGTGCTTGACAGACTCGTGGGCTTGTGACGCACTGAGCCGCCGATTGGCTTGTCGGAAAGCTCGAACCAGCTCTGCTTCCAGGGACTTTATATCCGGATGCTGGACGTGGGAGATGACTCGCACACATTGTTTCTGTTTCTCCGAGTGGTCGCAAGGTAAAGCGCATCCTGAACGAGCCTTGGGAGTGGTCGGAATTGCGCCTGTAGCTGAGAATTCTGGTGATGAGCAACGCCCCAACTGCGACGGTTAGCGTTCTATCTGTTGATTCTGAAAAATAGTCATTCGTACCTGATTGGCGGTATCCAGTTCCCTTGCGATCTGGGTATCGGAGGCGATGTAGCTGTCGGGCCAAGAGAGGGGCGGAGTACCCACTCCCACCCTGGGCAGTCTTTCGTCCCGGTCGCTTCTTTCGGTAGACAGTTCCCGGGCTAGTTGCGTATTGCTCTCAATGAAAGCATCGCACTCGAATGCTGCGAGATAGTCTGGCATTTCGACAAATGAAGATATTGTACAGCAGTGCGCGGACAGGCCCAGGTCGAAGACTGCGGACGCTTAGCTTATTGTGGTTAGTCAAGGCAAGAGACAGCTCCGATTCTGGCACTGCGCAATACCACTGAGACCCGTAGATTGTTGTCGTAGGGCTATTATTGCCAGTTTAATGTTGCGCTAAGAGGATTTCTTTTGTGCGCTGGGCGACACAGCACTAAGGAAGACTTCGTCGTTACTACATTTTAGAGCCTAAAATATGGAACTGGGTGAGAGTATATGACCGCAACAATCGCCCATGTATCCTTACCACCGCGAATCCAGCCGAGTCGATCTGTCTGCCCTGAAGCTACCCAGCAACGTATGACCGGGGCATTGCACAATCTTGAGCGTCGTGGGAGCCGGGCAAGGCGCTCTGTATATCGGCAACGCTAACAGAGCAGCGATGGGGACGATTCGGAATTGAGTCAGACAGGCGCATATATAGCCCACAATGCAGGTCATGGTGGAGAACCCGACGGAAGTTGTCGTGCCAGGAGCTCGGATGCGTTTGCAACGACAGAATCTGAGGATGATGGGCAGCCTGTTGTCCACGAATCTCTCGACCCAGTCGAATTCGTCCCATCTGCGAGACCACCCTCTGTTCAACCACCTCGCAGGCTATAGGTCGTGTCCGGCGTGGGGGAAGGATTTGCGGTCGATTTCGCGGAATGTGTGGATGCGAGGTTCATGTCCATCCAATGGGGTCGGCGAAACGTAGTGTCCTGTAGGCAATGTCAGCACTTCTCGTAATCGTATAACATAACGTCGCCTAGACTCATGGCTGCTTACAGAATGTACATGCCCACGGCCATTGGTGTGAGCTGAGGGCCTTCACATACGAAGTTGCATTCCACATGCCCTAGCGGCTACCATGACAACGCAATCTCAGTCGGCAATCTGGGTGACAGATCTGACACGCACCGTCGTAACGGAGCGGACCGAGCCTGATGCGCTGTTACAAGTCATCGGTGTGTATGCTGCTCCGAGTTCCTTGCATTAATGCGAGTCGTAAGACGCAGCTAACACAGGCTGATCGGTGGGAGCGGAAATTTGTAGCGCCGCGGCTTATTTCGCCGACCTCTGGCGGTGATCTGGAAGAGGGCAAGGGAGCTGGGAGTGACGATGGCACATCGAGCGGCCGGTGTGGTTGGAGGGAAGCAAGCGACTCGAGAGTTTCGGCTTTGTGGAGCAGCTACAGCCAGTCAGTCACATCCTTCCCAGTACTAACGCCCTGAACGCTTACACTGCTTCCATGCCATGCGGACATTCCACGCTTTTTCGCCGAGCGCATTTAGAAGCTCGCGCGTGCACTGATCGGTTGACGATGCACGCGTGACGCAAGTTCGCTCTCAAAAACAACTCTGAGGCCCTACTATTGGCACGGACGATGAGCAGCGGCGCTGATTTCTCTCCAAGGATACCAGGACGTGACATGTGCCTCAGAGAAGATAGCGCATGTGGCATGTCGAGGGTGCCGTCTCGTCTTCAGGTCTCCAGGGCTGTATGCAGGCGCCCGCGCGAACAGGGCAATGCACGTGTTGAGGCTCATGAGGGCGGCGGGGCGGACCAATTCCCCGGGCACAAACACCACGACGCGACGCGAATCTCGACGGGCCTGGGCATTCGAAGCGGCGCGTCTGAACCTCGAAGATTGTCAGCTGGTCTGTGTGGAGGCCCTTGCCCGGGCAAGGCCATCCAGCTAGTTGGAAGTTGAGGCTCGGCGGGTCTACTTCGGTCCACCTCTTTCCTCCACCAGAAATCTCCACCGGCTTCATCTTCAACAAGCGCTAACTCGGACGGTCGCAATTGCACGGAATTTCAGACGCGCAGCTGTACGAAAAAGAACCATCAACTTTGCGCTGCGCGACCATGTTCCGCCCCATGTTTCTGAGGTCGGCTGGGCAAACCATTTCTCCGGGCATGGAAGGAGCTGTCTCTCAGCGCCACAAGGTCTGACGTAACGAGGTCGATGGTATACGGATCCAATGGGGATTAGCTTACTTCCACTATAGCACAGCTCTCCCGGGAAGGTTGGCCCTCAGTGCGCACCTTTACTTCACTCCACCACGCTGCACACCTTAGCGGACCTCACCTTGATTAATTGCTCACCATGCATCTTTCGATCAAAGCGCGAGGTCGTTGGCGCAAACCACAGCCGCAGCTCCCTCAAGCCTTCGCTCTGGAATCATGCTCAAGCGTCAACTATCGCGCGGCCTCGACGAAGCAGAAAAAGGTTTTGAACTTGCGGCAGTTGGATGTAGACAGGCACTTCTAGAGGTAGAACTAGCGCATTTGTACTGTTCATCAATTGCTGACATCAAGATTCTACGTAGGCTGACTCCACCGTGGCCGAAGCCTCACACCACTGCACCGCTGCATCCCGCCTCGGACCGATCAGAGTACATGAGACTCTCGTACGCGCTATCGTGGAACTCGCTTGATGAGATCGGTCGCAAACGAACCATCTTCCAACCCCTCCTCTATCTCCCGCATGAATCTGCCCCGACCGCGATCGTGTACCCGCTCCGTACCGCTACTTCCTTGGCTCCCCGCCGCAAACAGTTCGAGAGCACAAGAACCCATCATGCGCATATTAGTGTCGCGAGGCTGGATTAGATCACAATTGCGGGAATACCGTCAATGTCCAGCCAGCGCTCGTCGATCCACGAACACGTCGCAGACATCGTCTTCTTCCTCTTCGCCATCCTAGCAGAAGCTGACTCAAGTTCAAGTCACAGGCCGAAGCCCCGACAAAGATGACACAACCTTCAGTATCTGCACGCGCTCGGGGTGCCGCGAGATACTTGGTCATCCTCACGTATCCAAGCAAGCTCGAGGCATGGTCAGAGAGAATCGATATCGTCCACGGCGCACTCACAGCGCATATGCCGATCACGTTCAGTACACAATATGGGGTTCCTTATGAGTACACTGACGCGGTGACATTGGGCGGATTGCGATACGTGCGAAGAGCCAAAGATGCAGTGCGTAGGGCTTTTGCGAAGAGCTTTCTAGACTTTCAAGACACGGGCATGGAGTAAGCGTTCGACGTGGAGAAGGCGCAAGTTTGTGCTAACGAGGTGATTGACAGCCGTTGATAAAAATACCTCAAACTCGTAAATATCCAAACAAGTTAACCGAACGATGATACCGATATGATACAAAACGCCATCGCAGTCCCATGTGAAAAAAACCCCCCAGGTAAACCCGACGCCGCTTAACCTTGATGATACCGATATGATACAAAACGCCATCACAGTCCCATTAAAAAAAAACCCCTCCAAGTAAACCCAACGCCGCTTGACCTTGGCCGGTTGCCGATGAAGACTATAACACTCCTTCATGCCGTGCCAGACATCGCTCTGCATGCATGCCTGATAGCTCAACACCGCGACGCGGTTGATAATGTCGACGACATGTGTGACCACGCCGCCGTCGTTCCAACCGACCCAGTGTTTCCTTAGCCCCTGTTTCGCTGGGCACAGTTGGAGCAATTGACCGGGCACATGTTGATGAAATTTGGGTCGAATTGCCCTTGAACAGGGTTGAAGGTGCCGTTTTGATTGAAGGAGCCGTTTTGGTTAAAGGTGCCGAGTTGGTTGAAGTTGCCGTGTTGAGGGAATGTGCCGTGTTGAGGGAAGGTGCCGTGTTGAGGGAAGGTGAAGGCGTCGAGTAAGTCAGCAGAGGAGGGCGGCATGGGCGGCATGGATGGCTCGTCATCCTGCTCAAAGAGGCACGGCCACGAGTCCCAAGGGCCTCCCGGCCCGTCCATCTGGTACTGGTTAAACGCGTCGAATCTGGCCTCTGTCTCGGGCGACTGCAGGAAACGAGTGCGATCGAGACCATCCATGTTGTTTCCATAGGGAGATGCATCGCCTGCGTTCTGGCTCTGGGGCATGGGGAAATATGCCTCGAGCTGGCGTAAGGCAGCCTCGCTTGCGCTGGTCCCCATCTGGGGGCCGGCGAAGGGCGAAGCTATCTCGGTGGGCCGGTAAAGGGCGAAGCTATCTGTTGTGAGGGAGGTTTTTGCTCCCCTGCGCCTGGTCCTGGGCAGTCAAGCCCATACTGAGGCTGCTGCAGAGGCAGAGGCTGCTGCAGAGGCAGAGGCTGCTGCAGACCCAGAGATAGAGGATGGGGGAGCAGCACCGGTTGCACCGAGCTGCTCTTGCCGTTGTTGCTGCTGTTCATGTTGTTGCTGCGGTTGATGTTGTTGTTGTTGTTCGACGGGTCGAAATCAATCCCATGCGTCGCCAATAGGACCTTCAGTCGTCGGTTCTCGTCGCAGAGTTTCAAAGCATTCGAAGATGGAGCATTGGACCGCGACTCGATGCGGCGGCGCTTTGCGCGTCTACTCTCACGGTAGAACGGGGAGGTGAGCTGTGTGGCAGAGTCGCGGCGCTCCTCATTGCGAGCAGAGTCAATGTATGCCTTGATTTCCACCCGTAGAGAGTCGGGGACGCAATCAATGCAGTCTCGGAGCATATCATAGTTCATGTGACGCTCGAAGCGCTCGATTTGTAAACGAGCGAGTTTTTCCTTGGCAACCACATCAGGATGGTCCTCCTGGCCGGGCGGCTTGGGCGATGTGAGATATCCAAGTCCTTTTGCCAATGTGGCTGCGAGCGAAGCTAGTTCCAGGTAGAAAATCTCCATCATACTCGGAACCTCTTTGCCTTTTTTTACATGGACCCTGGCAAGCATAGACTTTGTTGCTGCGAGGAATTCTGCCGTGTCCAAGTCCTTGTCAGGGTCGGGCCGGCGATCCAAGAGTGTCCATATCTCAGTTGGCCGGAGCCTGCCTTGAGCCCAGACGCGAAATTCGCTGTGACACATTTGCTGGTGAAGACCTGTTGCATATGTTGATTAGCTCTGTGCTGCATACGCGTCTGATCAGCGTCGAGCGCTCTAATTACTTACTTGCGGAAATGCCTCAGAGGGGCATGTATCGGATGAGAATGGGGACAAAAGTTGGAGAGGAGTTCGGGGCAGAGATCTAACAAGAAGGTAGGCAGGATACAAAGAGGGTGTGTGATAGGAAGGGCCTTTATCGACAGATACCACACGGTGATGTAAACGGCGGCCGGGTCCCTGGACCTGAGTGTCCCTGTCGTGTATGTGCCGTGATCTGTGTTTCTCCGGTGTAGACAGAGTAAACACCGTTTTCGTGCGACCGTGAGCAATCCTCTATCAATTCAGTCGAAGATTCCCCAGGTCGAATGCGACGACTGGCTAACACGTTTTTGGTGCTTCATGCTTAGTGTACGACCTTACACCACGCTGCTGCCTACAGATCCCGTGCTATCTGATTCAGTCTGTCACACCGGCTGGTACAGCTCTCTCGATCGTCGATCGTCGCGCAGCATCATGTATGTGTTGTTGAGAACCTCAAGGTTCGGGAAGCGGGTATCCGCTTCGGCAATGACAGCTGAAGACTGAATGAGACTGCTGCATGCCTTCACGACGATGTTGTGCGCGGTATACTGAAGCCATCTCACGCACGACGCAGCGCCTTACGGTATGCCGTCTAATTGGCTTGGATGGGGGACCCGGGGCGAGAAGAGATCGCCTCTGAATGTGCTTTGGTCGTTTTGTATCGCATGCTGGTAAGAACAGCGTGATTACTAAGTGCGCATCTCGAGTATGACAGAGTCACGTGAACAGTGGTGATCGCTGACGCATCTTTCAAACCTTCAACTTTGGTAGAGTTTTAGCTAGAGTCGGCGAGTAGCTACCAGCTAAATCTAATTTGACTCTAGTTATTTGTCGAAAGGAAACATGTCTCAGAATGCAGTGTAGAATGTTTATGATGTGATGACGTAGCAGCCATTGTGCAGAGTGCCGTCTTAGAATACTGGCCATGTCTTCCTTTTCTCCTCCGCATCCACACACACTTGTGATCAAAAGCACAGCCTAATCCCAACCAAACCGAAAACTCCACATCCAAAATGCGCAAGGACAAAGAGGTGAAGAAGACGACCAGCTCCAGAGTCACACCGACACCATACGACGGACACGGCAGTATCAGCTCCGAGACCACCATTATGACTCGCGAACACCACCAGGATAGACGGTGGACATTGTGTATTTTCGACCGTAGATATGAATCTCGTCGACGGTAAAGGCGGTCGACCCTGGGCGCGACGGGCAAAAACCAGAATTCCTTGCTCCCGGACAGTTGCGCGGCAATGCAGGCTTCCCCCGTCGCCTTCTCGGACGCGTTTTAGCGGGTTTGTGTTCTGTGTTGTAGCAGGTACTGCAATGCACGTGGGTAAAGAGATGCTGCCCCCAGGTCCACAGAGGCCGCGCGATACTGAAGTATTATCCAGCGTAATCCAGGCTACCAGCGATGATGTCGGCCGTTTCTTCTGTATCAAGTCCCCGATCCGCTCGTTCGTTCCAGAATCGGTGTACAATGTCGGCTGAGACTACAGTGATAGCAACCGTCTTGCGCTGTATCGTGCAGGGAAAGGGAGGGAATGTACCGGGCATGTCCGATGATTCGTTGTGGCATTGTGAGCTCGCGATCGGCCTAGATGCGAGGTTGGATACGCCGATGAAAAAGCCTGGATCATGAGTTAGTCTGCGAAAGAAAGCGGTTGGAGGCAAAACATACTTCATCGAGCTCAGCTGACAAGCGCAGCAAAGAAGTGACGATCAGAGGCCCGTAGCATCAGATCAGGTACGAATTGCTCCGCGTCCATGGCGGCACTTGTCGCGGTCAAGCAAGCATTGCCATCTCTCGCCTACTCAGGTTGAGCTTGTACTCTGGCCAACAGCGTGCCGTCTTCCTAGGATCGATGCGATGCGACGTCGGCGAGTGAGGGCATGAAGTGCTGTAGAAGGATGCGCCTCGAGTTTGGTCAGAACCGGACCACCGAGCGCCGTGTCCGTATGCGGTTAGGTAGGGCTGTACTCGAAGCGTGTGCGCGCCCGTTGCCTCCACCTAACTGTCAACAGCTCGACCCGACACACAACCACGCGCAGCGCTTGAGACTCTTGTTGTAGTAAAGCTCCGCGCTTCGCTTGCCACCTCGCTACGCACGTTCTCCAATCCGCCGTCCATATTCCCGTCTCCCACACTAGCGAGTGCCACGATACCCGATCCTGAACGGTCCGATAGTTCACCGCCCACGTCGATCCCCACTTCCAAGCGAAAACATGGTCCCTTGTGACTGTGAAGACGGGACGCAAGAAGTTGAGGAGATGGAATGGACAGAGCTCGACATGTGACGGACAACGGCTTGCGGTGGAACTGGAGACGACACGTCGAGAACAGATGATTTCTAGCCAAACGTGGCGGGTGCCGCAGGTGCTCCTGTCCACATAGCGCCCTGCTAGCATTTGGGCTAAGGACACCGATGAGACACGGCCGTCATCGCGGCGCGCGCCGATCCGCGATCCAATGTCAGACTCCTTGCGTCGCAGTCGCTAGTTCTGCGACGTGAGACACTACGCTGCGCCAATCGCCACGTTGCTCGTATACCAACGCCTTTCCGATCTCTCAACGGACCTGTCCCTCACTCTGGTGTGCTCACCCATCAACAGACAACCAAGTCCTACCTCGTTGACGAGAACTCGCCCAGGTGTCCTGAATGCCCTCCAGCCCGTGCCTGCGCCCCGCTGAGCCAATGCCCAATTGCTACATCCGAATGAAGGAGACGTGCCTGCGGCCAATTCGTCGGCATTGACGAGCGCGAGAGCGATACCAAAGCGACCACTGTCGAGAGACTGCAGGAAATGTCGGCGCCTGGCCACGGAGGGTACTACACCAACCAATGGCACACATTGTTACCGACGTGATGTTGAGGAAAGCAGAGCGTGGCTTTGGAGCGGGACCAAAATAAGGCAGAAGAGGAGGGGGAATGCTGACGTTAGTAGGGAACGTCACGCTGGTTGTGTCTGAAGAGACGATCAGGGCTCTGTATCGGCAGGCCTGCGAATCATCTGGACTGAACACGGCCCAGACAATGCCACGGCGAGACTCATGAGCACTCTCTCGGCCGGGTGTTGTTGCTTCTGGAGCGCAAAAGAGAGCGCACGCAACATACGAGCCCCTCTGGGTAAGCCTCAAGCAACCTCCAACGCCGGCATGGGAACGACGAATCGGACGGCTGCTCGATGATGTGTAGGAGATATCCTTGATGACTCATCCACGCTTCAAGTCGCGGCATCAGAAACAACGACCCTCATGATAGTGGCTAGCAATTTGCCGACAACGGCATAAACGGTTCACGGACCGCCTCGGGCGAAAGCAGCGCTTGTGGTACATGTGCAGTTGGGTGTTGTTTCAGAACCCTCTGGTCAGAATATGTCTGTAGACCTGCCAACCGGAGCGTGATACACAAATACTACCATCGCTCGCCACATCCCTACATCTCTGCATTCCACTCGAACATGAGGCTGAGCAGACGTACTCTATGAAATGCAGTCAATCACAAGATACAGATCCTTCCAGCCCAAAGTTTCTAATTTCTAGCGTATGCCCCGTGCAAGATCAAATGAGATGGAGACAGCACATGCAAGTTTTCCACTTAATTCCGCCGAGATCATCACGCAAACTGCTGCCGGGAGAAGGCATCGCTGATGCAGTTTTCGCGGTTGCTCTCTGTATACGTCGTTGTGTGGGATAGCTACACCAAGAGGCGCCTGCTGCAGGCGCCAAATGGCGCTAGGCTTCTTGACTTGATTTCCTCGCCTCAAGCTGATTTCCTCGCCTCAAGTTGATTTCCTCGCCTCGACTTGCTGCCCTTGCCAATTTGGTCTAGCCTTAATCAACCACATTTGTTTGTACCCTGTCACTTGCTCAATCTTTCTCCTACGCTCGAATTTGCAGCATTCCATACCCCATGTACGGCGAAATACCAAGGCGCTCATCGCAGGCTCCAATCAGTCTGACAGGCAGTAGTACTGCTACTTCAGAGAGGATGTCACGTAAGCATATCGACAAATTCCTATATTGCTACTCGCGCTAATCAAGAGCCTCTACAATAGTACCGTCACACTTGCCTCAAACGCACTCTTCTCTCAGCGATCCCAGGAATCCGGAGCTCCGGAAAGAGCCTAAGTGGAAGGACCGTAACTGTAGAGGATGCGGCGAAATCATTTCAAATACCAAGGCTCTGGTCTGCAAGAAGTGTAGGGAAGCAAACGCGCAGGCTAGATCGAAACGCGAGGGGGCACGTCGGGACGCTGTGGCCGCCACGTCGCCTTACTACTGCAGAAAATGCAATAGGCATAAAACGGGAAGTGACTTCGGGAGGAAATACAGTGGAGAGCAGCTGAAAATATGCCGAAAGTGTTTGGACAAGGACAGACGGAACGCAGGCTTCAAGAAGGATGCACTCCGACAAGACCAAGACAACAATGAGAGCTCACTCGCTCAGGGTCATGGTGGACCGTCTACAGGAATCGTCCAGCAAAAGTATCATGGCGAACCTATGAAAGTCAACCAACCACCTTCGCAACCCGGCCCGGAGGGGGATTCTAGCGAGCCCATGGCAGTCGATCAACCGTCCACCGATCTCACGCAGGAAGAGGGCCATGGCGAGGCTCGGGAAATTGGTCATCTGCCCACAGAAGTTGCCCAAGAAGGGAGTGATGGCGACGCATCTATCACTGATGATCCCCGGCCTCCTACGTCCTTGCGAGAAACACTGTTCGTGCGCTCCTGCGACCCGCTAAGGAGGCTAGTGCAAGAGATGAGAATTGTTCTTGACACCATGTCCAATGAAGAGGACACGTGCCAAGCTGGTTACCGTGAGTTCCTGCGTCACTTCGACGCTCCATCTTCGCAAGGCGCTGCTCTTCTCGCCAAGATGGCTACGTTCGATCCTGGTTATTTCACGCATAAGCTTAGGGACAATGTTCCAATCGGCGATTTTGAGATCATCAACAAGAATGACACCGGAGGCTGTCTCGTCCTATATGCCACGCTCGAACAATTAAAGGCTGCTCGATCCGGACAGGGGGTTCCCGATGTGTACTATATTGTGGTAGCCGAAACGCATCCGTCCGAATGCTCTGACCGAAGTAACAAGTTCCTGGAACAGCTAGAACGTACGTTCTGGGACTGCGAAGTGGAGTATCAACAATACCTGCAATCAGCAATAGATACGCCACCCACAGAACGGATGCTAGTTGGCAAAGTTCTTGAGATGGCGAAGGAAATGAAACATTCTCCGGAAACTGGACGACCGTACGCAGCAAAGCAACCGCCGTTCAACTTCTTGAATCTCTCTGGCGAGAAACTAACGGATAGTTTCACCCAATCTAAGCTTGTAGAGATCCTAGGTCTTGACCAGCTGTCGCATCTCACGCATCGGACCCTGATCAGCCAAAGCAAACTGAGCAAACCGAACATATCGAACGAGCTCGACAAAGCGGCGTCTTCACACAACGTGGTGGTGGATGGCAACTCCTGTGGCAAATTCGAGCTTCTTGGCTTCCCAGGCACAATCTCATCCTGGCACATGGATGTGATGGGGATGACATGGATACAGACACTTTCTGAGCACAAAGCGTGGTGCATAGTCGACACTCCGGATAACGACGAGTTGTGGGACGACTTCAAGGAACACGGTGTGGGATGGAAACCCAAACTGGGCACTGTGAAGGTCATCCCCCTATCGGCAGGCGACACACTGCTGATGATGCCCGGGAAGTTCAATGCGCACATGCCCATATCTTTCGGAGACTCCTTTACACACATGATAGGTGGCCAGGTATGGCCAAGAGATCCCAGCTATCTCAAGGGCCTCTTGCGTAGTTTGTCCTACGTAATCGAGCACAACGACGTCGTGACCAACGAGCTGCCCCCAAGGCAACTGCCGGCCCTAATCAATAGTCTTCGTGAAGAAATTGCCCTGTCCTTGCAAGGTACACAGTCGACTATTTCATCCGGCAGCCGCAACACACCAGAGTACGAGCAGCACCATCTTGATCAGCTGGACGAGTGGAAAGAACGTATGACATCTCACTTGGCTTGTCAATGCCCGGGGGGGAAATGTCAATCAACCTCCGAGGAGACGCAATGCCCATGCCATTCTCGGGATCAAAAGTTTGCAGATAAAGTCAAGCACCAAGGAGGCTGCACTGCATGGTGTCACGAAGGGGTCTGTCGGAAAGGCAAGCCGTCGGCAAAGTCGAGGAGGAAAAGGTAGACCGCGCAGTCTGCCACGGCGCCTTCCCACAGTTTGGTCTTGTCAGACTTCTCTCTTCATGCTGAAGATAGCCAAAGTGAAATCAATCATTATAGCTACCTTGTAGTAACTTCAAGATCTACTGCAACGGCTTCATCAGGGCTGCACACCCATTACCTCCTGCCCATCCCTTGTGAAAAAGAGTTTCGGATTCGTGCCAGACGTCAGAGTCAACTTGCGCTGATTCTGGAGTTCTTTGGCAATGTCATGGCCCTCGTCCCAAGAGAACGGCTCCTTTCCCTGTCTGCCAAGCTCTTTGTTTACAGCACCAAGCAACAAGCTTAAGCGGTCGTGGTTCCTCACGAAGCGTTGGCGGGTATCAACCAGCTTCATTGTAGTAATCCAGAAAAGTTCCAGCCGCGCTTCTTGCACTGCGAAGATGCCAATCTTCTGCGTAAAGATCCTCGCTTTTTGTTGGACCCCAAGCCTCTTCTTCTCTGACATGCGGTGAAGAAGGTCGTCGAAGTGGGTGGTGCGTATCGGCGTGATGACGTTGCGAGGCATGAGCCGTTCCATTGGCGTCTCCTCTCGCTCCAGGGTCAATGACCGAAACCGCTGTGCTATAGGTGACTGTGGGAAATTAGCAAAAGTGCTGTGTCAGGCAGGGCAGCGTCAAACGTACCTGCTCTTCGACCTCTGTCTTGATCACCTCGGCAAATGCGTCGCTGCGCGACCTTGAAAACGAGAATTGATACTGTACTTCGCTGTCGACCATGGCCGCGCGTTCCGGTTGGCCTGTTTCTTCTGCCTGCAGTATAACTGGCTCTTCTGCTTGCAGCATGATCGGCGCTTCTGCTTTCTTTTGGTCGGCGATGGACCTCGTGGGCAACTCAGGAGAACTATCCGAGGGCGATGACTCGATCGTAAGGTCAACAATGTGAGAGGTGGATGAGTTGCCTAGAATATGACGCGAATGGTGGTTTCTGTTACCGCCATCCTCGTCGTCGCCATCGTTGCCGCCATCCTCGTCGTCATTCTCGTCGTCGTTCTCGTCGTCGCTATCCTCGTCGTCGCTTATCTCGATAAGTGGCGTTGCACCCAAGTTCGAGGTTGCCGATTTTGCTCGTTTTGCGCGAGTCTGACCCGGGCTGGCGACAGATCTTCCCTTTGGCCTAGGAGCTTGAGGCTTTACCACCCGAGAGGCAGGTTTGGCTCGCAAGGGACGGAAGCCGAACTTATTCTTAAAAATCGCCATGGAGCATGTGTCGCAATCAACAGGCAAGGTCCCACGAGCTTACATAAAGAGAAAAGGCGCTACCGAGCGGCGACGTCATTGGGTGTGCTTGGCGCGCCTTGCAACTACCCCAACCTCAAAGAATGAAGTACTCCGAGCTTCACTGGCCTTTCTTTAGAGGTGCTGGAGTATAGGCGGTAAGGGCTGCAGAGGATGGAGACCTCGGGGGTGAAATTGCCCTCCGGGGCGAGATTATCCTCGAGTTTCTCGATGGGCTTGTTCATGTTGACCGACCTTGACTACCGCTTCTACTGATTCTCATAGATCATGTGGATGGAAGGTTGCACTGACTCATACCTGCTATTGATTGGTCTCAGTGGTCTCGAAGAAATGGTTTCACAAGCCTCGAAGACTTCCGCCCCTC